TGGACTTGCTGGAATAACTGGTAAGAAATGTCTAGTGAACATGTATGTATGTATGTATGTATGTATGTATGTATGTATATGTACATATACATTTTGCTGAATGTTTATTTTACTGAGTTGGGGAGTTTAAAATTGAAGCATGAGAAGGATCACATCCCAGGCAGAATGAGGGACAAGAAGTATATGTGTGGCATTCATCAGTTTTTTTTTACCTGTGGCTAGAACCCTGAGTAATTCTATAAACATTCTCTCATGTAATGTTCATAGTCAGCTTGAAATGTCAGACATAGTGTTCCCATTCTACTAAGACATATGACTATAGAAAGTTTGTGTGAAAGACTTTTCCTATGAATATGCAACACACACACACACACACACACACACACGCACAGTGTTGTGTGTCTGGAGTTGCTCAGAGAGTCACCGTGATCATGAATAAATTTTATAAGCAGAGGCTTTATTAAATATTGGTGCTGGGTATTCAATGGCATCATGACTATGATAGTGTCCCCAGATGCAGTACCTGACTCTATCAGCCCAAGGCTTACAAAGTCAAAAATCACAAGATGACATATATTTAGTGTATGTATAGCAGCATCTAATTTTAACACAGATGTCTTGCAGTTGTCTAGTCATTAAGAAGAGTAAGCAAGGTTGATTACAAAAGCAGAACTCACAGTTTGTGTTACAAACTAGAGCAGCAAATTTTACAAGATCAGTCAGTTTCAGAATAGTCTTCAGTGTCTGGGAAGAAAAGGAAGGTCAAAGCTTGTATGAGCTCAGGGCTTATATGTTAGAGGCATTTTTTGCTTTTTGATCTCTCTAGCATAGTAAGACTCGACTTTAAATGTAATGTTAACCATCACATCCGCCCTTGACTTTTATCTTGAGTCAATTATTCAACTCTGTGGTGGATACCTGTCATTTGTAAAGCCACATAATAACATTTTGGTTGAGAGAAACTGGTTTCCTTTGGACATAATATTTCATTCTTTTGTTGAGGATGAAGGATGATCAATGTACTCTCTTCTATAATTGTTTCTCAATTCAGATTAGGATGTTGTTGTCAAGGCCCATTGAGGCTGGAATGCTAGTCAAAGGCCTAAGGTTGGGTGTTCAGACATGGGGGGGGGACGTTCATCAGAAGAATCTAGTTTGCTAACCCAGCTGTAAAGACGGGGAACAATCACATCAGCTGGTTTACATCAGATCTCATCGAGTCCAGGGCTTGTGGCCACTTGGAGCACTTTGTGGTTTGCAGCTGACTCCTGGATGGTGTCTGTCAGCCAAGGGGCAATCTGATGGGACAGATACAGACTAGGGCCAGAAGTTAAAGTTTAGGAACTTAAAGGGAAATCTTACATTTAGAACTGTTCCCTCAGGATTAAGCAGTAGGTAGGGAAACTTAGGCTGTTGATTGACCTGGAGTCTATCTGATTAGTGACAAGGGACTCCAAGTTGTGTCTTCCCGTGGCTTATATGATTTTTAAAATTTATAAAAAGAGATAATATTTTAGATATATTAGTATTATCATTGTTTCTGGTCTGTACTGAAATCCACATTGTAAAAAAAAGGCAGTAGACACATGCCTTTAAGTCACAGTAAAAACTTGAGGACCCAAAGGATAATTCTAAGTAAAAACATGAACATTTTTCCACCAGAGGGCTGGTTAAATGTATTGGGTGGAAATATATTTAGCATTATAAAAAGCACCTTTAAATCTGTGTTTAGAAGACATTCAAAGGAAAGTTTTAAATTTTGAACTTGTGACTATGATAACAGCAGTCATTGTTTTACCAGAGTCAGTCTTATAGAGCCAGCAACAGGCTTGTACACATTACCAGAACCAGTATCTTTGAAGTGAGGAAAGAGAGACTTTAAGCATAAACACGTTTGTTTAACCTATGACATTTAAAATACACTTGATACCCAGAAGACTTTTCAACAGAGTAGCAACCCATAGTAAACAAAACTTCATTTATTTTACTTTGAGGAATAAAAATTATTAAAGCCTTTTATTCACTCTTTTAAGTATTGTAGCCTTTTAGTGTTGTTTCCCAAATTTGTTTTGGTTGCTCAGGCATTTTATCAAAGAACATTATAAACATAAAATAGAGAATTGCTTATATTTCCCTATAAAGCCTTTAAACTTTTACATATTAAATGCATGCAGATGTAGCTTTAATACGTTTAACATATTTAAACACATGTTGCTTTTAAATCTTATAAACCTTATTTTTATGACTTTTGTACTTATATGCTATTTTTATATTTAGGACAAGAATTATCATATAAAACTTTATTTTAAATCAAAATATTTTGGACAATTCTTTTTTACTCCTTAGTTGGTATATATTGTGTGGTTATTTTAATCAAATCTTAATCAAGATCGTTGAGAAATTACATGGCTGTTATTACAAACATCCATGTTTTTCTTTAAACAAGAGTGGAATCCAAGTTACATACACAATATATTCTGGTAGGGGATACACTCTGTACAAGCTAGGAGCTTACATATTAGAAGCACTGTTTTGCTTTTTGGTTCCTGAAGCATAGTTAAGTCTAAACTTCAAATGTAACGTTAACCATCACAACAGACAGACAGACAGACATACGACACACACACACACACACACACACACACACACACACACACACACAGAGTTCTACTCACTTCAGAAAGGGAGCCCTTATCAGACCAACATGATGATTATAGCAATGTCCAATTTGGTAAACTAATGAGTTTCTCTTTGGCGTTACTAATAGTGTTAAGAGGACTCACACTTCCTTAAAATTTTAGCACTTAGAGATAAAAGGGAAAATAACCTCTTTAATTAGTATGTGACTGTAGCCTATAGTTATTGGATGAAAAGGACCAGTCCTCATCTAAAATATTCTATAGCTTATATTATGTTTAGACATTATTGTGGAATAATCTTTTTGTATACTGTGAAGATACGCCTTTGCAAAGCACGTTTTGATGAGTTTAACTAGTGGGCAGGAGTTAGCCAGGCAGGAAATCCAAACATGGATGGAGAAATGTAATAGGTGGAGTCAGGGAGATGCCATGTAGCTGCCCAGGAAGCAAGAAACACGGACATCACCGGTATGCCAAGACTACGTGGAGACACACAGATGATAAGAAATGGGTTAACAAGGAAGAGTGTGAGCTAATAAGCAGCCTGTGCCATTGGCCAACAGTTTATAATTAATATATTCCTCTGTGTGTTTATTTGGGACTAAATGGCTGTGGGACCAGGCAGGACAGACACTTCTGTCTACACACTAGGCCTTGCAGACTTACTGATTCTGGTGAGACATAGTCATGGATAAGCTTGTAATGCTATCTCCTTTGGCCCATTTTGCATATGAAGAAACCCTGAAATAGGGGTTACAAAATTTTTCAAGTTACTGGATTATAAATAGGAGAATATAATTTCCTTGGTAGTGATTTAGAAGCCAGTTTGTACATGAAGATTATACCAGCTAGAGTCATAATTCCTTTTTATGAGTTAATCTTGTAGTGTTGTAGTTTTCTCAGAGAACATTCCAACCACAAAGGAAAACAAAATGTTAAACCTCTCAAAATAGCTTCAGGAAGTCCCTCAAACTGACCAGATTCTTGAGGTGTCTCCCCACCACGAATGGTAATGCAGTGACTGCCAGGTTTCACTTTCAGATGAGTGCAGCTGCCTGGAAGAGGCAGAGACCAAATGATGCCCAGGAAAGGACACTATGGTGAGTTGAATGGGTGTGGCTCCCAAAGGATCATGTATTTGGATGCTTGATCTACCATTGGTGAAACTGTTTGGGGAGAATTAAGAGGTATGGCCTTGTTAGAGGAGGTATGTTCTTATTGGAGGATGTGTGGACTCATTTCAGTAGTTGTGTCAATGGCTTTTGTCTCCCAAAAGCCCACATCATCCCCAGGTAGAGCTCCCTTTTTGCCTCTTGGTTGTTATCTCAGCATGGAAGCTCCCAGCCTCTGCTCCAACACCGTGCCTGCCTGCCTGCTGCCGTGCTCCTCACTGTCTGAAAGTTTAGGCAAACTTGCAATAAAGTCTCTTCCATAAGTTGCTATAGTCATGGTGTCTCTCCACAGCAAAGGAAAGTAACTAAGACAGAGACTCTGTTACCCAGTGAGGTGCCAGAAACCTGTTCATTGTGTTCCAGGGTTCCAGCTATTGTGAGTGATCATTCATGCTGGAGTAGACTTTGGTTACGCAGCATCTTGTGTCAGTTCTGATCTTGTATGGAAGCCCTCATTCCTCACTCATATTTCTGCAAATAATCCCAAGAAAACGCTAAGTTCAACAAGTTGGTGTCTGATGATATCTATCTTTTGGTCTGTTATGCCCTCCATATCTTAGGTGAGTACCCATGTGTCCTGCATCACCCCAGGAAGTCTGTCTCACAACAACCACACACAGCTTAATAATATAAAGTCATTTGTTTTTCTGATTATTTTGAAGAAAAGTAGGTTTATGCATGAAGAACTTGCTGAATACAACCCAACAGAGAAATCTCACAATCACAGTCCTGAGACCCTACCTTCCCTATGAATAGGATTTGAACTCTCCTGTGTTGACACACTGTGCTGGTCTCTAGGAATATAAAATTGAATAACAATAGGACTTTTTTGTTAGTTTATTTGAAACAAAATGGACTGCAAAGCAAAAAAGGCTAAATGAAGTAGAATCAGCACACCGAGAAATGTGTTTTCCTGAATGAGATATGCTTGTATTCATCTAATAATAAAAATATAGACTCAAAACAGGCGTAGTCATTGCCAGATATGGTGGGCCATGCCTCGAATCCCAGGACTTAGGAGTCATAGGCAGGGATATTTCTGTGAGCTTGAGGTCAGTGTGGTCTATATAGTGACTGCCAGGATAACCAGAACTACATAGTAAGAAACTGCCTCAAAAACAAAACAAAACAAAACAAAGAAACAAAAAACCAAATAGCAGCAGCAACAAAACAAACATAACAGGCACAGTCTCTATAAAACTAATTTTTTATTGTTAATTTTTGTGTGCATGTGCGTATAGGTACAGCATAAGTTTATGAACATCACAGGACAACTTGCTGGGGTTGTTTTTTTCTCCCATCATGAGTCCAGGTTGAACTCAGGTCACCAGGCTTAGTATATATATCAGTAAAGTAAGAAGACAGAGTTGACTGAAGACAGGCTTTTGATCTGTTATTTCGTCCTTTTTAGGACTCATCAGTACAGTATAGCATATTATCAAAAATTAAATTATTTTGTTCTTAAAACTCAAGTGCATATAAATGATTGCAAAATTAGGCACCAAATGCTTTTAAAGAGGTCCAGTAGTTAACTGTCTTACTCTTTACTAGGTTCAATTCAAACCAGCCTGGTTGAAATGAACCTAATAAATAATAAAGTTTGGATGTCATACTCATGTATGAAAGTCTCAAAAAAGTTGAAATAAGAAAGTAAAATGGCATTTTCTTGGATCATGCTCTTAGTCCACTGAAATTAAAATAGGAACATTGACGAGTAAGTGTAAAAACATTTTGATAATGTTCATAATGTATTGATCACAGAGTAGATAGTATTGGTTTTAATACTATCTAGACATCACTTCTGTTGTGTTGGCTATTGGATTTGTAAAAGAATCATTTTCCTGGATTCAGTCTCCCTGCATTTTTAGGTCTCCTGCATTTAAAGCAAGGAACAAAGAAACAATTTCCATATCTGGCCATAAAAGTGGAGTTCACTAATACAGATATGATTATACTTCACGTTTTTACTCAAATACCTATTTAATTTAGAATCCATGTTTTCCCAAGAGTCCTTATGTATAATTCTCTGAGATTTCATCTTTACTGTCCACACGCATTATCACTGGCCTTTGATGATGGTTTTAGCAGATCAGGAGAGGAACAGCAACTGTAGATAACAGGACGCAGAGCATCTCTTTCTCAGGCATGCTTTGGCACATGCCCTACCCTGGCTTTAAAATCACTGGCCCTTGTAAAGGATAGCAGTAGCTTGCTACAAATCCACTTCCTATTCATGTAGCCCCTTCCACTGCTGATCACACCGTCACTCAGATAGGCATATCCTCCATCTCCTCGGATAGGAACCCTAGAACAACAAACAGACAAAATTTCTGCACAGGCTGACACTGATTCAATCCAGCAATGAAATGTTGCCAATCTGCACTGCTTATTTGTTATAAGAACCAAAGGAAGGCAGAACCCATGAGGAATCACCTGTACCAGTTAGACCCAGCATCCCTTATATTTTTTGCGATTCAGTTTGAACACCACATCTTTGTTATTCCTCCATGTTTACCCTGTAAACTGTGTAGAAGGCATTTGCCTGGTGCTTGATGTCATGTTCATAAGAACTGTTGCCATGGGTGTCCTCAAAAGGGTGATTTTCAATTCTGTCTTGAAGTATTTTATACATGTATGGAAGTGGGAAAAAATCCAATTCTTAGTAAATTTCTGAATGGTCTTTAATGGTGGATCTGACTGGGTCTGTGCTTCACTGTTCCAGTGAAATGGCTCCATTTGAAATGGGTAGCAATGCTCACATCCAGGAGCTGTCTCAGTGCTCTTTGATGATGAGACTTTTGAGGATGTTCTTAATGTCCCTGCAGTCTCTGCTTCTGTGACAGGTGCAGGGTGCAAACCACCGCCTGACAAGTCCTACCCCAGGAGTTCTGCAGTGGGGGTTCAGAGCCCTCACCACCCATCTTAGCTTCTGTCTACCTCTCACAAGGGGGATTACCATCTAGGGAAAGTTTTCAATTGGTGATGGAGCAACATCTACATCAGGTGCCATCATCATGACTAAATTTTCATGTGAAATCACACTAAGTAAAAGCTTTGAAAATATGTAGGAACACACAGAAGAATTTAAATCTCTAGGGGTATGGAATTTCCTGGGGATTATCTATTGCATATAAGCAGACACCCTACCTCTGAGACTCTCCTCCACCCTAAGGGTTTATTTTTCTACCTTTCCAGTACAGTTGTCTCCACATGACTCATGCTTTTCTGTCTTATAGTCATAACTCACATACACAACACATGAACACAGTAGAAAGAAAAGTGGTTTTCAAACGTACAAGTTGTTATATTCAGTGTTGTTTGTCCACATCCAAGGGTGCTGTGGTGAGTCTCTGTGCAGGCCAATCCAGTAGTCAGAAGACCCCTTGTATCTCTTCAGGAAATTCTGTCATAATAAAATATAGAAAGCAAATATTTGAGTCTCTTAGCTTTAGATGATCCTTGGGTCTCTGCTCTACAGCATCCTTTTGGGAAGGCAGCAGGGTATAACAGAGGGTCACTGACCTTGGGGTCATAATGGCCCTCAGTTCTCATTGGCTGCATTTTCATTTATCATCCAAAGTACACTGGTGACTGTACATCCTCTGTGCCTGGGAAAGTCCCTTGTTAAACCTGTGCTTACAGTATGAACAGCTGTCACCTTCAGTATGCAATACCTACCTGCTTGGATGAAGACTTACATGACCACCAGGTATCTCAGTAGAGTGTATGTCTGTTGTCACATATTGACTATGAACACCACATGATCGAATGTCTCTGGAATATCTCAGAGCTCCAGTCAGAGGCAATAACATCAGCAAATAGCACACACTAATGTGCTCCCATGTCTCCAGTGCTTAAGGTAGGATCCTTCCTCGTGTTTAAGCCTCAAGCTCTCTATTTCAAGGAACTACTCCCCAACATAACAAACAACAAACTAACTTCTGATCCTTTCTTACCAGCTCCTCCAGGCTCTGAAATTGAGCTAGATGGGCCTCTTGTGCCATGCAGGAGGTCTGACTGAATGTCCAGTTTCCCATGTCATCAGAAAAATAGAAACATTTACTTCCAAACCCAATCCAGTGTCTTGGGCAGGTGGCACAGCAAGGTCCAGGGCTCTTATTGACCAATTTTTCTTTTCTCACTGAAATGTAGACAGTTCATGAAATATATATATATATATCTCCAAATCTCAGCTGTTTTCTGTGTGCTTGGGCAGTAGCTTTTCTTACTGGTCACTAGGAGACCCCCTCCTAGCATGAAGGTCCCCAATCCAGAGCCTTTCAGTGGGGAAATGTTTTATTTTTCACCTTTGTATTTCGTGTTTGGAGACAGAATCTTGCTATATCCCCTGCCTGGTCTGGATCTCACTGAGTGGACACATTTTTCTGGAGCTTACAGTAATCCTGTTGGATGTGCCTCCTGAGTGCAGGGACTAAAGACACCTTGCCCTGCATAAAATCATAGGTCATTAACCCATTAGGACTCTTTCTGATTGCTGTAATCCTACAGCTTCCTTTCCCATAATCCACTTTCACATGCTCCTTTTCTCTTGAAAAAAGAAAGCAAACTCCTCCCTTGCCTGGATTTTATTATAGAGAAATGTCAGTCTGCAACACATGGCATGGTCAAAATCGGTCTTCTATACCAAAACTGTGATCAAGGTCTTCCTTTGATTCTAGCACACACATTAAATACATATAAACATAAGCTGGCTCTTGTTAAAGCTGGTCAGGATGGGTGTCATGAAGAAACATGACAACAGATGTTAGAACCATGTGCAGAAATAGGGACACATATTTACTGCTGTTGGGAGTACAAACTGATACAACCAATATGGAGGTTCTTAAAAGAAATTTAAAAAAATGACCTATCACGTGACCCATCGATGCCATTCCTGGATATGTATGGAGAGTACACATCCTACCACAGAGAGTCTTGCAATCCATGTTTATTGCTGCCCTATTTACAATAGAAAGAAATGGACCTAACCTGGAAGCCAATATACCGATGTATGCATAATGACTATGTGGAACACATGCAAAATTGAATAATATTTCAGTCTGTGATACTGCATGTGAGTGCTATGAGACTGCACATGTAAGTGCTGTGACACAGTGCATGTGTGTGCTGGCTGGTGTCACCACAACACAAGGAACTGTATTAAAGGTTCACAGCATCAGAAAGGTTGAAAACCACTGCTCTAGAGGTTGCTGAATGCCATCTTCCCAGGGATGCTGAGCCTGGTCTCCTGTGCTCACCCCAGCCTGTGCTGTCCCTTCTCTGCATCTTCCTGAGAGACCCTAAGTTCTCAGAGAACAGCAGTTTCCAGTGTGTTTTCTCTAGAGCCTTCCTAAAGAGAGTTCTTCCTCATGGTATAAGCATGTAAGTATAAGAGACAATGTAAATGTGGACAGAATGCTGCAGAATTTGGAGAATAAGTCACTCACCTGACAATGACAACGCAACAGAAAGTACAATCACAGCTACAGAGAGGACCCCAATCACTGCATAGCAGCAGTAAAGCTTAACAGGACATTCAGTGGAGATGAATCTGAGACATTGTCCATGGAACTTTTTATCTGAAAACATCAATATGAGAATAGACCCTTTTAGGGAAAAAAGATAAATTTACCACAGAATCATCCATAGATTTGCCCTGTACTCTACTGCAAATGCCCTTTTTCAGAATTTCCTGGTTTATAAATTATGTCCTCAGCTTACAGAAGACTGGAGGAAAGGGAAACAGAACTTTTCCTATGGAGTCTTGCAGGTAACGAATTAAGAGCCAATGAAGAAACAAGAAACAGAGTGAAAGTCAAGTTGAAAAAACAACAATAACAAAAATTATCCACAGATTTAGTTGTGTAAGAATAGACCTGGTTGGGACTTAGTGGACCATAATAGTAACACAAAGAAAAACAAGACCTATGTACCAGGTGTGGTGGCAGAGGACTGTGATTCTGACACACGGGAGGGTGAGGCCTGTCTTGACTAAATAGTGAGTTTGAGGCTGAGAGGGGCTACATTTGACCCTATTTTATCTACCTCTCTGTCTCTCTGTCCTATCTATCTGTCTGTAGGGGAAAAATTAGGACTCTGCCATTAGCCATGTGGCTCTCTAAAGATGCATACAGATGTGGTAACGAAAGGGCAGAACCGTGCTGCTAACCACACCCACTTTAGGCATGACTAGACACAGAGTGGCGGAACTACGCCACTAGCCAGGCCCATTTTTGGGCATGGCTAGGGGCGTGTATGGAGGAAGGAATAAAAGAATGAACAGCAGAATGCTCACCCTTTTCGGCTTCCAGTTTGGTGGCCGAAAACTACTTGACTCATCAGGGCTGCTCGTTTTTTCTCTTGTGAGTAATTTCTACAATAAACAGTTACCTATACTCTCAAGTGTGCCGTTAATCGTTGCAGCAGCATCTGTCTGTCTGTCTGTCTGTCTGTCTGTCTGTCTATCATCCGTCTTTCTAACTATAATGAACTAAATGAAATTCTATGTACTAACAGAATAAGATAAAAAGGAGTACTTTAAAGTCAGCAAGGCATGTGCACAAGTCAACGTAAATTCACAGTAAGAACTCTCAGCATATTAAGAACTAAAGGAATTTTCTCACTTTAACAAAAAGAGGTATCTATGATAAACCAAAACAAAAATTTTAACTTCAGCCAGCTTGAATGCCTTCCTTTCAATAACCCAGAGCAAGGCAAATATGTTTTCTCACTACTCTAGTGTGACTCCAGGGGTCTTAGCACAATAGAGCAAGAATAAGAAATGACAGTAATGCACCATAGAGAGAGAAAAAGTGTTGCTATTCAGACAATATGGATATTTCTATTTAAAAAATTCTAAGGAGTCTATTAAAAGGTTCTAAAAGTAGCGGATGAGTTTACAATGCTGCAGAGAAACATGTCCATAAACAAAATACTTTTCATTTTCATACACAAGCAATTGTCAAATGTAACCAAGTGCATAAGGATAGCAATATTTACAGCACTGCCAAACACACAATTATACATCTAATGAAACATGTTCACAATCGGTTGCAGGAAAAGCAACACGTGCTTGTAACCTTTGAATCATTTCTCCAGAGATTTTAAAACTCTCAGTACATTGTAGATGCAATTTCTTTTGAAATACAGAGAGAGAGAGAGAGAGAGAGAGAGAGAGAGAGAGAGAGAGAGAGAGAGAGAGAGAGAGAGACAGGGAGGGAGGGAGAGAGGCACACACACACTTCCACTTCATTGTTTATATTTTTATTGTTTTTTAGGGACTAGAGCAGAGTGTTCATTGCACTAATCCAATTTACCTATCTAGTGTGTAGGTAAAGCTTTTGGTATTGCAACCAGGAAAACCTTTGCCTGAGACAAGCTCTCATCCACAAAGATTTTTTTCTTAAAATAGATTTAAGTTCTAGGCTTCATGTCTAGATCTATTTTGATCCATTTTGAGTCAGTTGATACACAGGATGAGGTGTGAGTCTTATCATGAAAACTCACTGTCTAAGCATCATATGCAGATGAGTTTTCATCCTTTCTCTACCTGAGAATTGTCCACCTTTACCATCTACAGTACACATGCACACATATTATAAACACACATTGGTTTTGAAAGGAAAGATGAGCCAAATATGGACTACAATGATGCTTACACAGTAAACACATGCACTGAAAATGCTTAACATTACTAAACTTTGGGGGTAAATAGTTGAAATCCAGCTTAGCCTTTTGTAAAATGAGTCTACATTCACTTCATGCCCTGTATCTAAGGGACATGCCTGTGTTTACATAAAAAACCTGCCCCTGCTTACAGCAGCTTTATGAATTAACCCTGTATTTTGCAACAGTTCAAATATCCCTGAGCTTGTGACAAAGTAAAGCAACATTACTTAGCCCTGGGGAAAATGACTGAAAAAGAAAACTAGATCTCCTGCTTGCACCTGTCCATTTCTTATGCTGTTTAAATGTTCCTCAGCCTGCTGTCCCCAGAGGTCACGTAGCAGGACTTGTTGGCCAGCTTAAATATCCCTTAAAGCATTTTTCAGCCAATGCAGTTTCCCTTGGGCCAGCAAGATGGCTCTGTGGGTAAATATGCTTGCAGTTGAAGCTTGGTGACCTGTGTTCAATTCTTGGAACATGCACAAAAGTGAAAGCAGAGAACCAAGTACACATAATGTCTTCTGACCTCTGCATGGCATGTGTGTGACCCCTTCCATCCACACCACCATTACCACCAAACTCCCAAACAACAACGATTGTTATAGTGGGTTTCAAAGACCAGGAGGATGGTGATACAACGTTGGTGCTTTGACCACCAGCTTGTTGTTCAGGAGATGGCTCTGAATGGCTTGAGCATCTCTGTATTTATTTTATTTCAAAGTCATAACTCTGAAGCTTTTTTATAATTTTCTTTCTCATATCCTTTATTTTCCCTAGGAAGATATTTAACCTATAGCTTCATAATGAATCACCTACTACAAGTTTTTATCTGAATCTATACTGACAACATTTTTATTTATGTCCTGTACAATTGCATCCAAAATAAGAAAATTTATTCTGTTGGTAGAAGAGCTGGTTGACTCTTGGCCAACATTTTCTGTTTTCTAACTAATTGAGGTTTTAGTGAGTTCCTGAACCTAATATCTTCATGTTCATATGTATTTATTAACTTCCCTAATCCATTGTTGCGAGTGCCACTTTCTGTGTCAGTGTGCATTATGTGCTTTTTGGAGAATAATTACATGTCTCATGAAACTGCATGGTTTCTGTTCTGCTCTTCTTTAAAGTTTTTAATTGCTCCAATAATCATTATTTCAATTCTATCATATATTTTTATAAACCTACCTTAAAGTTATTAAGATATTTCTACTATGTCATTACCACACCCCAGACAAAGTGAAAGAAAAAGCTACCAAGAGCACACACTGTTACACTGGAGGCAAAGGATCACCCCAGGCCAGTCCCGGGAAAGACAGCCGAGGCTGCAGGTTCTGTCACACTGGTCCGTGCCAAGCATACAGGAGCTTCTCCTAGGGTTCTTTCCACAAGGAGAGCCATCCACAAAGCTGCTCAGATGCTGCTCCCTGGAACAAAGCCATGGCTTCCACCATCTCCCACTTTTTATTTTTTTAATGTAGTTTTTTAATGCCTTGGTTGCAGAATGAAGATCGATGTACACAGTGGATGAGGACTAGAAAGAAAATAATAATTAGAAGGATAACACCTCAAATAATAGCAAAATATACCTCATCTATAAATCTACCTATATATCTATACATCTATAATTCCAAAAGCAACCAGAAGAAACATAACTAGTAATAGACCTTAAAAGACAGGAAGTAACCTTTTCTGGTGATGATATTATGGGCATGTGAAATAGCAGATATTTGATCACGTAAAGTGTATATTTTTAAATTTACATCTGTATTGTTTCAAATACCTCTACTATGAGCCTGAATCTGATTCCAAGTGTATTGAGAGCCATTATATGGCAAAGGAGTAGCAAAGACCCGGGTGTAATTAGAATAGCATGTCACAGTAAGTCTAACCTTGATGTTTGGTATTCCTCTTCCAAAACATTGATTCTATATATTAATCCTTTATGTGTAGATTCCTGAGTTAACAAGGCCAAAGACACGTTGGTGGAAAGAGAATTTGCGGGATGTGCCGTATGTACTTGATGAATTAGTGCAGTAGCAGAAGCTACCCCAGAACCTACAAAAGCTATTCAAACAGTAATATGCAAGACAACCAAGAAGGAAGAATGAGAGCAGCAATAAAATGTTTAGATGGCGAAAGAGCAGAAGATAACTGTTCCAAAGCATACACTGTAGGATCAGTGTACCATGGCGGAGTATGATTCACAGGAAGTAAACTGATACAGAAGATAACTGATCCAAGCATACACTGCAGGATCAGTATACCACGGCAGAGTAAGAGTCACAGGAAGTAAAACACAAGGCTGATGAACAACTGCAAAGAAAAAGGGCCCTGAGAACTAGGAATACAGTCAGCAATAGCACAACTCCTACAAGTCGTATTAAAAAGGAAGACTGAGCAGTAGCTGAAAAAGGACCCCGATGTCCTTTAGCTAATAGAGCAAAAGGGCAACAACACAAGCTTCATGGCTTGAGACAACTGGGGCTGCCTGGGGTGCCCAGTAACAACCATGTATTTAGTAGCAGCAAATAATTTATACAGATGTTTTTGGGGAGTATGTTTACGAAATGATCTAGTAGCAAAAATGGGGATAACCCATCCTCCTGAAAAACAATGATGCATGTGGAGGAGTGCATCAGAACCATATGCGATCCAGACAAAATATTGTCTAGTAATATTTAAACAAAATTTATAACTGTAAGCAGGACTTGAAACAGACCAATCTATTACAGAAACAGTAAGACAATAAAATAAAGAAGTAACTCCTTTTGTAGGAAATATGCAAGACAATCAAGAAGGAAAACCATTTTCAGGATTTGACTGACCGCTGTTGAATCACTGTGCATGAATCTCAAATGCATTATTACTGCAAAGGATCCAGCTACATGGTATTCTTAAAAAGCAAGTGTATAAGAGCAGAAAAAGCAAGGATGCCATAGGCTGGGTACAGAGGAAAGGAGTGTCTGCAGAAGGGCACAGGGGTAATGGGGTGGGGCCTGAGTCTGCAGCTTAACTATGATGGAGACTTCATGGTTCCATGTGTTCTAAAGATTCATGGACATGTACGACAATGCATACAATTTACTGAATGTAAGTTACATTTTTAAAAATCTTCAGCTGTCTGGGCAGTGGTGGTACATGCCTTTGGTCCCAGCACTCTTTCCAAATCAAAGGCAGGGTTATTTTAGTGAGTTTGAGGCTAACCTGGTCTACAGAGAGAGTTTCAGGCCACCAGGACTATACAGAGAAATCCTGTCTCTGAAAACAGAGAAAAAACCCTCCAGCTGACTTTAACCACCACATTTGGTTCATTTTCACAAAACTCCAAGATAGCAGGGAGTCTCAGTTTACACTAAGGAAAAGCTGAGAGAGGACTGGATGCTTAAGCTGAGGAGGACACGGGACAGAAATGGGTGGAGCAGATGTAGAAACAGAGCATTTCCAATTATACTGGGGTAGAAACCGGAAACATCTTTGGTTCTTTCCAGGCCAGAGTTTAGAAGTGACTGAGTTCCTGTTTCTTTCCTCCTAAATGAGCTTCCTGCCTAGATGCTGTGTGAGGGTGTAACTGACACTAAGCATGTCTGCTGAACAGCTTTGAAACACATTGCATCAGTTCCTCACTTGTAGCCCATAGGGTAAATAATTTCAGGGTATGTTGAGCAGGGAATGTTACAGTAGCCTTTGAGGCTATCATTGAAGATATCAGGGCTCCCCTGAAGCCCAATTCCTCTTGTCAATTGAGCAGAATCTGCTTCTTGTCCTGGGTAGACATGACATACCACTGTGTCCTGCTGGGCTTGTCACTCACCTGGCCAAGAGGCAACCCCTCAGGAAGGCTGATCCACCTAAAGCCATGCTAAAGAGGTGGCAGGAGAAATTATTTCTTTACTGAGATAATGTACTTTTCCTTCCTGAGCTCCACTCTGCGTGGTCACCTGTGGAGCTGCAGCCAAGCAGTCTGTGCAGGTCACTGGCTTCTATTGGCTTTTCTGAGTTCTAAATCAGAAGATCTGAGAGTCTCTGTGTTCTGCTTCTCGTTCTCTTTAGGAAACCAGCCAAAGCTGGACTTTTCACTCTTTCTCTGAAGCCACCAGACTCTCCCATGGAACTGTCTACCTAATGTGGGATCCCCAAAGTCTCTGGGACAGCATATACAATGTCCTTTGGATTTTGGCTCATAGAAACTCTTCAACCCTCTTTCTTTGTATTTGTACATTAAACAGAGATGTCTTTTGAATTCAGTGCATCAAGATTCCCAACAATGGCTTTCTTTTTCAGTAAGTTGCTTGCATATGTGACTTTTATTGTTTCCTTTCCTTACTTGTTCTTTTCTGAAACTAAATCCTAAATGTTTACTACAGAAAATACTATGCAGATCCAAAAATCACCATCACCACCACCACCACATCAATAACCCAAACAGTATGATAAATTCTCTCCTGGGTTAACTTGTCTCAAAGAAACATGGTGCGTGTATGTATTTCTCTGTGGAGAATGAAAATGGTTTCAGTTATGGGACTATTTGACTAACCTGAAAAACATCTACATTCTTCATGACTTTGATTTTTTTTCTTTTTTGGTAATTATGAACACTGTTTTCCAAAAAGCCCATTTTCTTTTACTAAAACAAACAAGCAAGCAAACAAAAATTGAAGTAAAGGAAGAGGGAAAAAGGAAAAGAACAAAACAGGCACTTTCCAAACACAGAAGACAGTTAAAAAGAAACCCTGTAAGATTCTTTGTTTCTATAATTTTCCACAAACCAGAAATGCCAGAGGATTTGCCTGTGTCGGGGTTCAGCCCCCCACTGCACCTCCTCCCCACCTGTCCTTTGAATCTCACTGGATCTGGAAACCACAGGCCCCAGCCCCACAGCGAACTTCCTTAGCTGTGCATGTTGAAAGCTGTGCTGTAGAGTTTCCTTCACTCTGAGACATAAGGAGCATTTCTACAGCACTTCTTGTAACTCACTAGAGTGTGGATTACCAGATAGTGGGCTAACAAGTACACCCATACGTGCGCGCGCACGCACACACACCACCCACGCACGCACGTACACACACCCGCCACCCACGCATGCACGCACGAGCAAACACATCACCCACCCAGGCACGCACGCACACAGTTGCGTGTGCATACACACAGGCCTGAATGCAAGCACGCAACAAAGACAAACAGAAGAACCAAACAAAACCTAAAAAAACCAATTAAACAAAATATGCCTTAGGTTCTTATAATTGATTCCTTGTTCATTTCTCTTGCCCAGAAATACTTGAGTACTGTATACTCTGGCAGAATAACTAATATACTAGAAGCCTCCAGGCATCTCCACTTTTACAGAACCCCTCCTGGACAGACTAACAGGCCTCCACTCTGCTCCTCCTTACAACCCCGGTGAAACTCGCTCTCTGCCCATTTAGTTTGATTCCTATTGCATCAAATACATACCCATGTCTCCCTCCTGAAGGAGGTCTGTGCTAGTGGGCTTTGTCTCTCGCATGCACGTGGAAGCCTTTGGAGCCGCTGCAGCAGGCATCTCTGAGCCGAGTCTCTGCTACAGGGAGACTGAAACTGAAGTCAGAGAGGAAGAATTACTGCTTTCAATCTCGGGCAGTTCCAAACAAGCCCATTGGTAACTCCGCCCTGTTTAATAGACTTGTTTGTTAACTTCACCTCTCTGGCATGATACCGCAGAACACCCACTCAAACAGCACACCAAGTTGCTTCTTGGAGAAAGAAACTCACAAGATTACAAGACAGGAGAGTGGGTTGAGACAAGGGATAAAGTGTACTGTAAACAAAATGATCAGAACAGTGAAATGCTGTATCATTCAACAAGGCAAAGTGGTTTTAGTTTTAGGAAATGTTTATTTGTGTTGGAAACAGGCTCTCACCGTGTAGTCGCGGCTTGTCTCAAACTCACTTGTTAAGTGAATCTCAGAAGGATACAGCACTCATGTCACAGTGTGATAGAGCATAATGAAGAAACACGAGGAGACTGTCTGTGCGGAGTAGTCCTCTCTCTCTGTCTCCATTCCCTGGAGACTGCAGATCCTCATGGGACTCATTCTTTCTTCCTCAAAAAAGAGAATAGAGGAGGAAGATGGGGGGGGCAGCCCATCTTATGGAGTAGATTACAAAGGAGGGACTTGACCACACCCTGGGACTCTGGCTGGCTTGTTTGTGGGCAGTGCAGCTATAGACATGCTAGGAAAAGAGTCTGACAAGCTGACTCTGGGCCAGGACCTGTTCCTAACCACTCTGCACTCTGGGAGATCCAGAGAGGTGGATCAACAACACCCAACAAATGCACTATCAGACATTTCTCTGGGCATAGCCTGTACCTGACTATTTAAAACTTCATCCACCAGCCCAGCCAGCCTGCAGCCAGAAGATCACCTATGGTGATACATTGTTGTGACTTATTAAAGCCACGAAGATCAGAGAAACAAAGCAGCCTAGTCAGGAGATCTAATCTCTACCAAGCTGAAAGGGCAATCCTGCCTCCACAAATCCTCAGAGGCAAAAGCTCTCAGGTCCTGTCTCCTCCTTTTATTTCTTCCTTTCTCTGCCCAGTCATATTCCTCCTGTCTCCACCTCCCTAATGCTGGAATTAAAAGCATGTGATCCCATGTGCTGAGATCACCTTTGTGTGAGCTGTTTCTCTTTTAGGACTTGGATCAATTTCGTGAAATCAGTGTGGTCTTGAAGAGATTTGTCTATCTCTTAATCCTGAGTCCTGGAATTAAAGGTGTGTGACACCACAGCCTAGCTCCATGGCTGCTGGGATTAAAGGTGTGTATCAACATTGCTTGACCTCTATAGCTTGAGGCTGACTTTGCTTTCTGAATCCTTAGGCAAACTTTAATAAATCATAAACAATATATCACCACAAATCACCCAACAGAGCCTCTCTAAGATAACAGCCAAGCTAAGGTCATCAGTCTCCACTGACCATATGGAGGGTACAGCAAATTATGATTCTGTGATGTTCCAGTCAATGTGGATGGGGTCTCCAGGCGTTGAATCCTGTGAGGGTAGTTATAGTCCATGAGCTGCTCTGGCTCTGCCTCTCTGGCTAAGGTCAGCATGAGCTTGTATTTCATGTCGTCCCAGCAGGCACTGACAGTGCGGAAATGCTAGTGGTCAGTGTTGTGCCCAAATCTAGAAGACCCCCAGAGACTACCAAGGAGACAGACCACCAAACTGCAAATGCAAGGCTTTATTGTTTAATCCTACTGGTAGGGACTCTGTCTAGCAGATTGAAGCAGCAGTCTCCAGAGGGAGCTCAGTCCCTTGTCTATTGCCAGAATTTAAAGGAAAAAAAAATCACAGAGTTACATCAGTAGGTATGGGTCGAATCCTGATTGGTTGACATTTGGGGAACAATTAGGGGAATTTCCCAGAGTCAGGGCAACTGGTTTGTTAGTATTTTTGATTGGTTGGCTACAGATGGGAGCATTAGTGGTTGTTATGGCTTTGTCTGTTACTTGCAGATGGTCTGTTCTCATTGGTTGGTGCTGGGAGGGAGCATTCTGTGGTTTCTATGTCTCTTGGAGGTGGTTTTATTGTTAAACACTATATCCAGGTTCTATCTAAGTCTAAGAGGAAGGTTGTCTTGGAGTTTTGTTCACAACATAAGAACTAGGGGCTAGGGGACTGGATTTGTTTTGAAGGCTTTTCTATAACCTTTACATTTATATGGTTTCTCTTCAGTATGAATAAGCCTGGACTCTTAGGGAAGTGCCTGGACCCTACCCTGAATGAAATGATAGACTCTAGATATCCCCTATGCGGAAGGAATTGGCAATAGGGTGGGAGGATGGGGGGATAGTGGCGGGGTGCGGGAGGAGGGGAGGGAGAGGGAACTGGGATTGACATGTAAAACAATCTATTTAAAATAAAAAAAACAATAGTTCTAAAGCTAATACTAATTGGGAAGAAAGCAAGCATTCTGCTTCCATTCTGGCATGTTGGAAACATTTTAGATGATGTATTCTGGGATGCCTTTGTATGTGGAGTTCAGAGGATGTTTTTCCACGAGGGAAGTTTATTGCTCATAATAATCCAGTAAGCAAAGTAAGTGCAAAAAAAAAAAAAAAAGAGTTGAATGGGAACTTAAAGCTTTGCCAAATTTATACAATTTCTCCCAAGTGTGATTTATTAGTAGTGAAGCCTTTGAATTTAGTTTACCTCGTTCAGTCAGGGTGACTATGGGCTAGAAGACTTTCACCTCCTGCCTCAGCAAGGGTCTGAGCCTGGCTGCTATGACACTTGCCTCGTGACTGTGGCTTCTTCTTCTCAAACTTCCTCTCAGCCCTTATGGTATCAGACCGAAGCAAGAAAAACATTTGTTATATCCTGACCTGACTTCAGGGTACAACTGAGGTCAGTATTTCACAGGAAAATTTGCTAACCTGCGTTGTTCTGTTTCTGTAATCCCAAGGCTTCCTTCAAACAGAAATAGCTATATACTTATTAAAAGTTGATATTCTGCCATGCTTGTCAGCAGTCACTTCAGTTATGCCAAGGAATGTGCTGAATTTGTGATCTTTGCCTTTCTAAGTCCCCTGCTAACTCAACCTGGGCTCTATGCATGAAAGAAGCCTCTCTGATCAAGGCTGACAGCATCATTAATTTATGGGGATAAACATACATATTTAAAAAGTAATCTGGCAACATGGCCATTTATCAAAATAATAGTGGATTCTTCCTTAGTGCCTATGACCTCCATAGTCATGGGTTAAAACCCGTTTACAATACCAGTATGGATTCTCTTCTATGGAATAGGAGGCCTCAAATCTAATCAGAAACCAGTTGTTTATCTCCCATAACCTTAATACCGGCATTGCACTAATGGCAATCTTGTGGGACTTATTGGTGTTGTAGGTTACATGACTAGTCCATTGATACCTTCTCCCTCAGGAGCTTGCACAGTGCCTTCCAGTGTTATAAAAGCTTACCAGGGCTTGGAGGTTTTCTGGTTGACTCCAGACCTTTATTTTTTAATTTTCTGAAACCATGTGGTATCTTCAGCAATGGATCTTGCAGTATAGTAATGGTGGACAATCAATAAAAAACAATAGCAATAGCTTGTGTAGTTTTGGGGACCTCTGGGTTTGCCCATACATGTATGGTGTAGGCTATCCCATACCTGGATCTGAGATATTGATTTAATAACCTATGTCTTCTGGGAGGAGCATTGTCCACCCATACAGGATTCTTCAGTTCAAACTACTTTAAGAAAAGCATCAGCTTTAAATTAGCTTATAAGTTAATGAGTTTCCATATGCTTTATAATACATTTGGAAACAAATGTCATTATTTTTCTGAGAACATAAGAAACTGGACATCCAGACAGATCCCCTGCAAGGGATTAAAGGCTGGAGTTGCTCAGTATGGAAGCCCCGAGGAAAAGATAAGAAATGTGATGGGAGATGTCACTCTGTAAACGTTTATCTTATTCGTTGATAAATAAAATACTGTGGACAATAGGGAAGCAATATAGGTGGGTCTAGGAGATGAGGAGGATTCTGGGAGGTGTAGACAGAGAGTCACTAACCATGTAGGATGCCGGAGGAGTAACAGATCCCTGGACTTTTATCTGGTAAGATAAGACCATGTGGAAATACATAGATTAATAGAAATGGGTTAATAATTAAGACAGAGCCAGACAATAAGAAGCCCTAGCCAGTGGCCAACAGTATTATAATTTTGGGCTCAAGAGCCATGGGACCTGATGGGCCAGAAAACTCATGCTTACAGAAATGTCTACTGACTGTGTTTGTTTGTTTTTCTGAATATGTTTATTGCCCCAAGTTGAGGAGCTTGAAGCTGAAGCATGAGGAAGGATCCCTTCTCAGGTTGAATGAGGAACAAGGCATGGGTGTATGCTGTTTATTAGTATTTCACCTCTGGCTATGGTCCTGAGAGATCCCAGAAGTACTCTCTCATGTAACATTCATAGTCAGCTTGAAGAGTCTTAATATAACTGATAAATTCCTAACTTATTGTATCATTGACAGTTTTGCTTAATTTTGAAATATCCCATCTGCGTTTTGTTTCTTGCATTTTACCTTTCTCTATTTCTCTATATATTTCCTTTACTTCTTATTCCATGTTTGGCTGTGTGGCTGTGTGGCTGGCCCCTGAAGTCCTCCTATCCTCCTTTCCTTGTTGTTCCTTGATCCCTTTTCTCTCCCTTTCTTCTTCTATTCATTCTCTCTGATGACCAGCCCCACCTATCCTTTCTCCTGCCTTGCTATTGGCTATTCAGTTCTTTATTAGACCCATCAGGTGTTTAGACAGACAAAGTAACACAATTTCACAGAGATAAACAAATGCAACATAAAAGAATGCAACACACCTTTGCATCATTAAATGTTCCACAGCACAAACAAATGTAACACATATTAATAATATTCCACAACAGTCAGTCATAGTGTTCCTGATCTACTTAGACATATGACTATAGTCTGTTTGTATGACAGACTTTCTCTGGGGGGAGATGTAACACACACACACACACACACATACACACACACACAGTGTTATGTTATG